GGCAGATAGCTAATGATGACGTATCAGCGAACAGACACCGAAAAAAAGAATTGAATTGAATACATACCGTTGATGGTGCATATTTCGGAATACGTCTGAACATTGGCGACTTCGCCAGAAAGTAAAATATAGAGACAAGAACTAAACAGGAACATAAAAGTGGTTAAGAGCACTCAAAATCTTGTAAATTGGTATAAGCAAGCACAAACTCGCTTCTAACTGAGACACAAATGCCAAGTTCTTCGGCACACTTGTCTCTGGTTTTCAGATTGGCTTTGCGCCGAGAACTCACTTATTGGCGACTTCGCCAGATAGTAAAATAGCGATACACCAGTAAAACAGAAACACAAAAGTGGCAAAGTGCATAATAATTCCATTAGTAAAGTCTCGTGTATGACTATAACAAGGCTCAACATCTTTCCCAACTTGGACACGGACACCGATTTCTTCGACTCACTCGCCCCGTTTTTCAAATTGGCATGATAAATATTTCGATATCCCATCTAAACATTGGCGACTTCGCCAGAAAATAAAATGTAACTATACCATAAGAGGAATGCCAAAGTGCTCAATTCCAATAGTAAAATCTTGTGTTGCCGTTTTTCCGATTGGCAGATAGCTAATGAGGACGTCTCAGCGAACTGATGCAGAAAAAAGAAATGAACTGAATAAATATCTTTGATGATGCATATTTCGATGTATGTCAGAACATTGGCGACTTCGCCAGAAAGTGAAACATCGGACCAAGAACTAAACAAGAACAACAGCGACTAAGGGCTAACTCAAAATCTTGTGAATGGGTACAAGCACGCACAAACACATTTCTGACTAAGGTGCGAATGCTAATTTCTTCGGCATACTCGTCACGTTTTTTGAATTGACATGATAAATATTCTGATATACTATCTGAACATTGGTCACTTCGCCAGAAAGTAAGATAGCGTCACAAACCTTGGCGACTTCTCCAGGAATAAAATAGAAAGTCACGAGCAGAGCCGGAATACGAAATTGGTCAAGTGAATACTAATTTCATCAGCAAAGTTCTGTCAAAGAGTATATCCGGGTTCTAAATCGTTCCTGACTGAGACACAAACGCCGCTTCGATTTCTTCAACATATTCGACCCATATATTCAGATTATCTTCGCACCTGTCACCACCAATCATGGGCGACTCCGCCAGAAAATAAAATAACGGGGCACTGGCGAAACAGAACGCGAAAAAAATAAAGATTAGTCAAAACAGCCAATTTTGAGTGGGAAAATTCTCCAAGAAGATTCAAGAGACAAAAAACGTTCATACCGCTCTTTTCACAAAAGACAAATAAGGGAGTTAATAACGAGTAAGGGTAAAATTTTCTACAAGTGGATGATATATTGTCATGATGAAATACTTCAACTGCGTTTTCAATTCATTTCCATCACTTCGTAGTTGATATTTTTGTGATACTCTTTAACATTTGTTAAATATGGGATTTCTCTTCAAACATACATTTTTGCGACTGGGAAGTGTGAATTTGTTTTGTCCGTGACTTGATCGATATTATTTGTATGACTCTCAAGACAAATACATCATTATTATGACTCAACAACTGCAACTATGACTATGATTCTGAGCCTTGACTCAATGACCAGTGGAATGAATGGCATATAGAGCCATTTCGTATGCAACAAAAGTATTCTCAACAAGAATTTACAGCTCCTCATAGGCTTTCGACTACTCTAATGAAAATATTCAATAATCCTAACATAGTTCAATTTGATATAGGAGTGAAACTGGCAAATACTCTTCTTGATGCAATATTGTCTTTCCTGTTTGAGGTGTATTCCAATATTAATGATGGAGATGCTGCTGCAGCAGTATTTTGTGACCTTACAAAAGCGTTTGACTGCGTTGATCATAAAATACTGCTACGAAAGCTGAATATCCATGGATGTAGAGGGTTAACACTAAGGTGTTTTGAGTCTCAGTCAGATTGTGAAAACGATTAAATGTTCAAACAGTATTGAAATGAATACTGGTATACCACAGGGATCGGTTCTCGGTCCCATATTGTTCCTGTTCCTATATTAACGATTTGATGAACATAAGAATATCTGGAACATTCACTCTTTTCGCTGACGACACCACTATATTGTGGCATAGTTAAGGTATAGATATACTCAATGAGACAATAGCTCATGATATACAAAAAATCAAGTATTGGTGTCATTCCAATCGACTCTCCCTTAATATTTCGAAAACTAATATTATGACTTTCTAAATGTTCACTTCAGAATTCATCTGTAGCGAGCGGTATCATGGAGAACAGAGAATGTACTAAATTTCTGGGGCTGTATATAGACGGTGAACTGAAATTTGACGCTTACATCAGAAAAATGAAAAGTAAAATTTCAACCGGCTGTTATGCAGAGAGAGTTATTGCTGGAGAAAAGTTTATACTGCAAAACCAGCATATCACGCTTTGGTAGAGTCTCACTTGAGGTACGGTATACCCTTTTGGGGTGTGTGTAGCCTTCATTTACTGGAGTCTGTATTTGTATTACAGATACTTGTGCAAAGCTAAACTTCATGCAAGCAACTGTTTATAGATAGAAAAGATTTGACGGTTGTAGCTCTTTTTATTTTGGAGACAGTGTGTTTGATTAACAAACATCTTGTGAAACTTGAGGTTACCACCCATCACTATACAACTCGTCAGAGAGTACAAAAAAGTTCAAAATTACCTATTCCTTGCAACTCTCTGGTCAGGGACTCCTTATTTCACGATGGTGTGAAAATGTATAACCATCTGCCGAGTTACACTAAAGAGATAAATATTGATCAGTACAGAAAAATGATTGAAGAAATTTTGAGTAGTAAACCCTATTGCAGTTTGACTGAGTTCTATACCGATCATTTTATGTGTATGTATGTTTCAACCATTGTTTGTAGTTTTTTATTCAGTGTTTTTATACTTAAATTTACATTGTATTTTATCATATTATGATTTTTTTTCTGGGTGCCAAAGAAGAGCCATATTTTTTTTAGTTTTGCTTATATGCGCACTCAGTAGTTTTGACCATTTAATAAATTTCGTTGTAAGTTACATTCGTTTAATAATCTCCCGTCAACTTTTTTTCCCTAAAACGATCTAAAAAAAAAAAATTACCATTTTTAAAAATATCCCTAGACTTTTCCGATGTGTGTATTTTATTCATGTCATTACACAGAAGTGTATATACATATGTCACATATGGTAGATTCAAAAAGTAAAAATGTATAAATGTAAAATATCACAGTGTACAATTAAAATTAACACAATTCATCAAATAATAGAACATATATAGACACAATATGTACATATGTCTTATAAATATAACGAATATACGAATATAACATGGACCTAACAGACAATAATCATTAATAAAAAATAATTACATATAAAAATGGTAAACCTGAGGTATATATAAAATTCAACATGATGAGTACTGAAATTCAGATATATCATAATAGGCGGTTTGAAGGAGGTAATGCTTGAGGACTAGTTCGAATTTAGCTAATGGGGCATCTTTCAGTGGTTGTGGAAGGGAATTGAATGATTTAATTCCTATCAACTGTTTATGGGTGGATGTCAACCTGTTGTGAGGAATTGCTGAATGAGATCTGGTCCTTGTGGAATAGTTATGGTTATCTCCATTCATCCGGTATAATGTCTGTGTGTTTTCACATGAATCAAGTTATAATATATTATAGCTGAGGGAAGTGTCAAGATCTTGAATTTGATATACCATGGTTTACAAGTCTCAGTGTTTGGTATACCCGTTTATACTCATATAGCTCTTTTCTGGACGGTAAATACTGATGTAATGCGACAGGAATATCCCCAGTTAACGATACTATAACACTATGAAACATTCCATAGTAAGCGGAGAGAGCAGCTTCCAAGTTCACAACTGATTTAAGTCTCCTGATTGTAAATATCGATTTGGACAATCTGCTAGTTAACTACCCAAAATAAAATATTCATGCATAAATTCAATTATCCCAAATTTCAACGGGTCAACTGACCCGAATACAGGATCATTCCTATTCAATGTTTTATTATCAAGCTTTATAACTCCTATTTAATTATATGCGAGCGCTTTCGAGAGCTGGTCGTGCTGTCATCATCAAGACCCTACTCAAACTGAACGTGTCAACCTCTTATTTGTCCTTATATGCGGTCCGAACGCCTCAGTGCAAGTACTGCAGGTACTTTAGGTAAATTTGCCTGTATTTGGGTTACACCAGGTAATATTCTTTATGTTAGATTTTCTCTAGATGTACTGTTTCTAGGAGTGTGTATTGTTTTGTTTAATATATTGAATGTTAGGTCTTGTTGTGTTTTGATTTGTATTTGTTCCTCGATAAGTGCCTCGATAAGTACCTCTATTTCTATTAGTACCTACAGGGGTGGTATATAAAGGCTAATGTAATGAACCATTCTTATTTTAATGTATAAAGTTTGAAAATGTCTTTATAGGACGGAACTGCAGTAACGTTACTTATAAATGAGTCAATTTTGATATTCAATAAGTTGAAATAATTTGTTTTCGTCAAAAGTCCAAAGTGAGCGTGTCTTGCGCAAGCTAGAGTACCCGTTTTAGGACGAATTATAAATATGTATCCTACAGTTCCGGAAGTAGGGCTGTTTTTTGAGAAATTACTACCTCTTTTTGATACTTTTTTCACATTTGAAAAATGTCAAACAGTCTGGGATATTTTCAACAAAGCAAACCCCATTTTTCATCAGTTTATCGTTCATAACTTTTGCAATTTTCACAAGCACCACTCAAATTTTTCATAAATCTTCTACACCATGTTTCGAATCGAATGACAGCTCCTCAATATATTTAATTTGAACTGTAAAACACTTGTTGACCAGAGTAATAATCGAATATGACGAAATCTACAGATTCCCTTCCAAGATTCTACTACCTTCAACTATGCAACGTAATGTCAATATAATGAAATCAGTACAGAAATTTTCAGTCACAGTTTATTCAAAACTTGTTCATCAATGCAACAAAGACAACAACTCAAACAATACTAACAATAACAGACGAAACTGGATCTTTTCTTCTTACTGTTTCTTATCTCTCATATGCGGGATATAATAAATCGTCGCCAGTGGAAAAGATAAATACACAAAGGCATGTAGAAGGCCGTGGAAAAGCAGTTGACCAGTAGTGAGTCGAGTTTGCGGAACCCCCGAAAGCACGTTACATTGTTTTCGCATCTGAAACATAACTGAAATTTCTTGGTTATTCAGTGCTCCAGTTTAATCAGCAGGATGCACTTGAAATTTTCTCTTGTTTTTTCGATGAAAGTAATAATACGTTCATCTTCTACAGAAAATTAGAATGATTTCTTGAATTTTTGTAATAGTCGATCAACAGATTCTTAGCGAAAGAGGTAGTTTGTGATTTCGTCAATTTTTTGGTAGGTTTTGTGGTTTATTGTGACAGAAAAACGTTTGATATGTTCATCTATTCTTCTACAAGTAGTGTGTAGAATTCAGGCAAAATTAATCTGCATTGAGAAAATAAATATTTCGAAATGAAATCTCAAACACGTAAATGATATTTCTAACTTTATGCAGCCTCATGACTCAATTGTTTTGTTCGCTGACGACACCACGTTTATCCTCTCAGGGAGTTACAAAAATATACTGTCAATGGTAGCTAATGGAGCTAATAATGTAGCAGTGCAAAGTAGTCGTGCAAAGTAGTGTATATCATCAACATAAAGTCGATGATTTCCGATAATTGAAAATCGAATTCCGTCAGAGTATCATTCCTTGAACTAAGCTGAAGCATACAACAAACAACAGGTTTTTCGTCGCCCCATCTGCCTGTGAACGAGGTAACCAACTGCATATCCGAAATTTGCCCAATTCCTCGTATAAGGAAAGAGAACTTTCACATATAGTCAGTGACTTATACGTAAGTATCTTCACTCAAAACAGTATTCAGACTTATGAATGATTTCTATTAGAAACTTTTCTAGTTTTTATCCGGCTATATTTATTGTCAATTAACAAACTCAGTAATTTTTCATTCTCATTTCAATGAAAATTATAGTAGCAAACTGAGAAGTTACTGAGGATGTCGGCATATTGACTGATGTCATGCAATTCTTCCGAAAATTTTGGGCACGAAGCGTGTGGCAGCGGAGTTCATTCCAAAATTGCTACATTTTGACAAAAAAAAACCGTCGCATGAGCATCGCTCAGGAATTATTGAATGTCATCAACAGCGATTTAGATTTGCTTAAAAGGGTCATAACTGGTGACGAATCATGGGTATATGGTTATGACATCTAAACCAAAGCCTAATCAACCCAATGGAAGAGCCCAGAAGAGTGAGGACCGAAAAAAGCACGCCATGTTCGATCAAATGTCAAGGTTTTGCTCACTGTTTTCATCGATTACTGAGGCATAGTGCATCAGTTCTATCCTTGCCATAAGGTCGTAAGGTCAATAAGTCTTGTTATTTTGAAATTATGCGCCGCTTGCAAGTAGCAATACGCAGAAAACGTCCGGTATATCACGATAATGTACTTTTTCACTTGTCTTTGCTTGTTGGTGATATTTTGCCAAAAACAACACCGATATCATACCTCAGCCACCGTATTCACCAGATTTGGCCTCCTGCGACGGCGTTTTGCGACGATTGAGGAGATAAAAACTGAATCGCTGAGGAAGCTCAAGACATACCAAAAAGTGCATACCAGAACTGCTTCAAGAATTGAAAAAAAAGCTGACACAAGTGTATTACGAGGGGGTTGTGTTAGGTTAGGTCCAAAGTGAGTAGTTCTATTCGACCCTCCACCTCAACCTATGAGGGTTTATTGTGGCTCACACTTATTCACACTCGACCAAATAAACCCAACTTCTTTACGAAGCCGATTAGTTTGTATGGTGAGTGGGTTTTCAGGTCAGACGGCTCTGCCAAACTCTATAAACCTGATTCGGTCCCCAGCGGGGCAGGCACAAAGTATGTGCTCTGCTGTTTCATCATTTTCCAAACAGAGGCGTCACACAGTCTTCCAACAGTCCGAATCTCTGCATATGATGATTCAAATGACAGTGACCTAGACATCGTAGTTCATCCCTACTGTAGTCCAACAACTGTTTGTTATCAAGCTTCGAAGGGTGAATGAACGCCTTGGAGTGAGCCAATCCTGGAAGATTCTGCCTGAAGTCCATAAATCTTTTGCCATCCAGGTGTTCAATCTTTGTTTGGCAAAGCCTAAAGCGACGCCAATGACAGGTTCTGGTCCGATGAAGCTGCTCGCAACACCCTCCTTTGCAAGAGAGTCAGCCGCCTCATTGCCTTCCAGGCCAGTATGGCCAGGAATCCAGACCAGAGACAATCTGTTGAGTCTTCCTAGCTAGGAGAGTTCTTTTTGGCAATTTGCTACCAATTTAGACGTTGCTCGGTAGGAACCAAGAGCTTCCAACGCCGCTTTACTGTCCGAGAATATTTTTATCGACTTGTGTATGAGGTTGGATTCTTCCAATCTCTCCGCACATAATTCAATAGCATAAATTTCCACTTGAAATACAGTCGCATAGGGTCCTAGGCAGGTTGATATCTCTGTCCTGGGTCTGCGACTGAAACCACGTGCACCAGAACCGGAATATGTGAACCAACAACTATCTGCTCTTAATATTTCCTTCTCCCAGAGGATCCAGTCCTCTCTACTCGGGCAGTTCGTAGTTGACAGTTGGAGGAATAAAGTCAGAGGTCATTTTCTGAATGCTGTGACTTCCATTGTCAACCAACAGTCTGTTACTTTCTGCATTGAATTGATTTTTGCAATTGGAAATGTGCAGAAGTCTATATGAAGTCCATCAAGCCTCTCTCTCCAGAAAAATGTGGAGAGGAGGTAGATCTAGAAGGATCTTCATGACCGCTGACGGTGTGATACTGATGACACCACTGATGGCAAGATAAGCCTGTTTCTGTAAGCCAGAGAGCTTCGCCTAGACCGTTTTCTGTAAAGTCTTCAGCCACCAAGCAATTGCACGATAAGTGATAATTGGTCTGACAATCACATAAATCCAATGGATTTGTTTGGGACCTAAACCCCAAGTTCTACCACAAATCCTTCGACATGTCCTATTACGAGGGGGACGTATATCTGATAAGTATTACTTCGAAGGGGACACAATGAAAATCAATGAATAAATACTTTTTGAGAAAAATTAAAATTCACCTTATTTTTTGAACACAGTAGAGCTTCCTCCAAAGAGAAAAGTCTTTTTTATTAATTACTCGAGAAAATGAAAAAAGGCAAGTATTCCATCGAAGTTTCGAAAACCAAAAACGACTGCGGTCTTCACTTATCAGATATTTTTTCAAAACAGGTTCCGAAGCACAATATCTACATATCTCAAATCAAATCAAATCCTTTATTTTTCTGTTCGACAATTTCATAAATAATTGTATTAGGAATAGTCAGTAAAGCTAAAATTATAAACTACTACACTAAAACTAGAAGCACACACGAAAACGCATGCACACACCACACATACACTTACGTTAAATAATCATCAACACTGTAATACGCATTCANTCAACATAAAGTCGATGATTTCCGATAATTGAAAATCGAATTCCGTCAGAGTATCAATCCTCGAACTAAGCTGAAGCATACAACAAACAACAGGTTTGTCGTCGCCCCATCTGACTGTGAACGAGGTAACCAACTGCATATCCGAAATTTGCCCAATTCCTCGTATAAGGAAAGAGAACTTTCACATATAGTCAGTGAGCATACTTGATGTTTTCTGATAGGTGTCAGTCCATTAACCTACTGTGTAGGGAGATGAGATTGGCCTGAACGAATTGTTCTTAGATAACTTGATTTATAGCCAGTCTTCAAGTATGCCTACTGACTATATGTGGATATAATTTGTGCCACGAGAGCAAGATATATTATACATGTTCATTTTACAGAATCGATCCCAGTGAATTTTTTGTTTTTCGAGTGAAGTCTCTATTCAGTATTGGTTTTTCATTTACAATGAAAAAGTAATCGTCATTATTGAAAGAACACGGATATTCCCAACTTCAAATATTCAGTCAACTAGGTAGTACTTAGCTTTCAACCAAAAATCGATTTTTTTCTAAAATGTTAAAATAGTTCCCGATAAATGATCTGTCTTCATTTTCTTTTGCCAACCATACACCCTATCTGTACAGGGTGTAACTAAATAAGTGTAAAACATTTAAGGAGGTGATCCCTTATCGAAAAAAAGATAGGATCTTTCATATAAAGAAATTTCATTGGAGCATCCCTTGTTAAGATACAGCCCCTTAAAGGGGGTACATAAAATTTGTGTAACAATTTTTTCACAAGCACTAAAAAAGTTACAATATTGAAATTGAACACACGTTTTGTACTACCAAAATGACACTTAGCCAGAAATTCATTTGGTTTGCCCCATGGTTGTAAGGGGTGGAAAACGCAACCCCTAAAATTCATTTCCAAAGTAACTTTTTGTCTTATTATTTGTTCACCATTTAAAAATTTATTTCCGATAGCCTGTTTCATTCTAAACAAAAAATGTCTTTTGGGTTTTTCGCCCAAAATAAACTAGCTCGCAGCAAAAAATTATTTTAGGAACAACTACAGAGATACATCGTCATAAATGCGAATATACACAGTACTTAATTTGATTGAAGAACAACCTAATACCAGTACTAGAAAGATTGCTTTCCAGCTAAATGTTGATCATATGACGGTATTTCGAATTTCAAAGGGACAACTCTTATACTCTTACCATCTGCAACGAGTACAGGCACTGTTACCACGAGACTTTCCGAACCGTCTTGAATTTTTCAATTGGATGCTGGAAATGATGAGAAAAAATTGTGACTTTCTGAAGACGATAGAATTCACAGACGAATGTAGTTTTTTTCGGGACAAGATTATCAATTTTCATAATTACCACATATGGGCTGATGAAAACCCTCACGCTATTGTCGAAACTACCCATCAAGAACAGTTTTCTCGGAGTGTGGTTCGGAGTTATTGGGGATGATTTAATTGGGCCTCATTTTCTACCTCCTCGATTAAATGGTGAGGCATACGTTTAATTTTTAAGAGAAGTGCGTCCAGTACTGCTGGAGGAAGTTCCTTTGGGCGTCAGAAAGGATATGTTTTTCATGCATGATAGGGCTCCCGCTCATTTTAGTCAAGTAGCACGTCAGCATTAACTGAAATATATGCATATCAATGGATAGGTCGAGAAGGACCACAGAACTGGCCCGCTCGATCCCCGGATCTCAATCCTCTCGATTTCTTTATTTGGGGACATTTACGGCATTTGGTTTATCGTTCTCCTGTTCGCGATGTAGAGGACTTAAGAAACCGCATCATCGATGCATGCAGGGTAATCAGAGAGACTCCAGGAATATTTGAGCGAATACGTGGCTCAATGCGCCGACGTCTAGACGCATGCGTAATGTCTGAAGGTAGACATATTGAACATTTACTATGCTGGGCAAAAAACCAAAGAGACATTTTTTGTTTAGAATGAAACAGGCTATCGGAAATAAATGGTTAATTGGTAAACAAATCATAAGACAAAAAGTTACATTGGAAATAAATTTTAGGGGTTGCGTTTTCCACCCCTTACAACCATGGGGTGAACTCAATAAAGTACTGGCCAAGTGTCTTTTTGTTAGTACAAAACGTCAGGTTAATTTCAATATTGTAACTTTTTAAGTGCTTGGGAAAAAAATTATTATACAAATTTTATGTACCCCCTTTAAGGGATTGTATCTTAACAAGGGATGATCCAATGAAGTTTCTTTAAATGAAAGATCCTATCTTTTTTTCAATGAGGAATCACCTCCTTGAATGTTTTACACTTATTCAGTTACACCCTGTATACCTATGTAGGAAAACGATTCTCTCATTAGATGAAAAGAAAATATCAACCTCTTTAAATTTCACATAATGAATTTCCCATGAATTAAACCATTCTTATGAAACCAAACAACTATAATTTATTAATCAATGTAGCCTACACTGGATAAGTAGATTCCACTGGCTTTATTAAAAAAAAATGGTTGAAATGTTACAAAAAGTTTGAGTGATTTCTAAAATTGCATCAATAAGAATAACCCACTGTAGTCAATTTGAAGATATTGCAAAACTTTGCGTTGGTAGACAGTTTTTTCCCAAATGAACATGATCTCTTTTACTTCTCTTGATATTATACGATATATGAAGTTTATAACTACTTAGTGAATCAGAGTTTCACTGTGCTGAAATAAGATTAATCACACTTACCGAATAGCTAGGGATGATATTCTCGGTTAGCAGGAAATCTATAAATCAAAGGAACAGAAGCTGTTTATAGAGATGCGTTCAAGAGATTGTTGATGTTAATGTCAGTGGTAACAACTTGAACTGTCAAATATAATTTTGTCATGAACTCACTTGATCAACAGCCGAATATGAAAAAACTAATTTGTAAAACGCGAAGTGCGCGAACAAAGTTCCTTTGGGGTTGAAATGTAAATGGCTCTACTCTGAAACATTCAATACATTTTGACAAAACATGACGAATTACTCTTTTAGCAGAAATAATCCAGAAATTCTGAAACAAGAGGTACTGCACTGTTTGGACCCCTGCATGTAATTATTTCAAACTGGTTGTTGCCCGCGGCTTCGCCCGCTGAGAATTTGATTTGTCACTTTAAATTTCGTGACACCGTTTCAAACAAATAGTTACAATATTTTTTTATCAACCCAAAACTTCAGGTATCCAACTTCAAAACTGACGAAATTCAATACAATCTTTGAACCCCCATTTTTCACCCTTGGGGGTGGAAATTCATGATTCCCTTTCTTGATGCTTATTTGCTCTATACAAAGAACCTACCTGCATATTTCAAGATTCTAGGTATAGTAGCTACGGCTGTAGGTTAATATAAGAGCGGGCAACAGCTACTAATTTATATTTTCACTTTAAAAATATCGTAACCAACAAAATATGCCAACTGCATTGAGTACTGAATACTTTCGAGAATCGAATTAAGTTATCTATAAAGAAATTCGCAAAACTAACACAACCGTCAACGACGCCTGCCCTCACGCGTCTGTCCGCGTTCTCGGCGATGGCGCTTCATTGCTGAGACCGCTTCTCTACGCCCGCGTATCATCCCCAGTCGTCTTACAGTAGACGCGACGCGTAATGGATTACTGCGTTGCTTCAAGTTAATCTTATCGTGATAACTGCATTGTTTCGAGGGGTAGGCAGAAGATGAATATACAGGTCTAGTGTTTGAAGAATTTCAACGAGAAATTTGGGGCTTCATGTTACTTTCAGACCTTATATTCCCATAAGGGCAAAATGTTTACTTCAAACAAATTTAGCCAGTAAATCCGTTGTGAAGGATCAAAATGTTTTGTAATACCTCAAAATATGGTTAACTGAGTGGACTTTATTGTATTGAAATAATACTATCGAGAGAGAGAAGAAAATCACTCATGGACTCACCCAAATTTCCAGTCTCCCCTCGATGATGAGATGGGGTTCTTCTCCAGACTATGGTGTTATCCAAGCTATTCAGTAATATGAATAATGCACTACACTTAGCACACTTCAATCAGCAAGTCTATGAGTAAATCACTCATTAACAAAGTAGTCAGTAGATGCGGTAACATCAAGTTAAAAATTTATATGAATTGATGAACGATCTATGTTCAAAATCACGCGACGCGCTCGATATATTGAGAAGCACTAGGTACGTCCGTAAAACCCTTCAAATCTCTTCGCGAAATCATAAACAAAAAATTCTACAAAAACTTACATATGGAAATAAGAATTTGAAGTAAACATAAATGCATTGGCGTAGAAAGGGAGATTTGTGGAAGGAAATGAATCAACTAAAAAGAGTAAAATAATCAAATATAACTACGATTTAATGAATACTTAACAATGAACTCTTACTTGAAGAAAACTGAGCTCATATAAATTAGAACACGACAGAAATTTTATATAATTGTTGAATCAGGACTTCAAACACTCACCTGAACTTGACACAACTTTCATAACTGTATAACTATATCAATTTTTTTTTTATCACATGAAACTCTGATATTTCTACAAAAAAATGTGAATCATAAGTACATATTTTGTTAAAACATAATAGGTTGAAATTACCAATTGATACCAAGTCCTATAAATAACACAATGACTCATGATTTACCAGTTTTTATATAAACCAATATTATTGAAATAAAATTTAATATTTTCTCGTAATCATCAGATTTCTAATTTTATATTCTTGTAGCGCCAAAGGTAGCGCTAATGGTATACCTACCGTTAAACTTAATGACCCTTATTTGTCAATTGTCACTGTCACTGTCAATGTCAACATTGTCAACTATGGCTAAGAATGATTAGATTATCTTCTAGGAATCTTAATTATCAGCAATATACTCCAATAGGTACTCGAGGCACAGATTACTTAATCTGTGCTCTAGGTAAAAATAGATTCCAGGGCGAAGGTTATGTGTAACATTCAATAAAAACTGAAGAATTGATATCAAACATGTGATAAATCATTATTATTTTGCTGTCAACTAAAGCTAATTCATTCAATATGATGGAAAGGTGATATGAAGTCAAACTATTTTTATGGTTTTGACATTTAATATTTGAGGTTAGAAACTCAAATTTTCAATATTTTGAAACACCAAAATGATTATTGAAAAGGCTGTACTTTTACTAAATTTACCAGTTTTTATATAAACCAATATTATTGAAATAAAATTTAATATTTTCTCGTAATCATCAGATTTCTAATTTTATATTCTTGTAGCGCCACAGGTAGCGCTAATGGTATACCGTTAAACTTAATGACCCTTATTTGTCAATTGTCACTGTCACTGTCAATGTCAACATTGTCAATTATGGCTAAGAATGATTAGATTGTCTTCTAGGAATCTTAATTATCAGCGTATCAGCAATATACTCCAATAAGTACTCGAGGCACAGATTACTTAATCTCAAATTTTCAATATTTTGAAACACCAAAATGATTATTGAAAAGGCTGTACTTTTACTAAAATCTCGGACAAGTGGTAGTTCCCCCGATAAATACAAACAATTATTAGATATTGAAGGTTTTAAAGTGAGTGAAGTGAAAACATTAGTATTTGAATTCAGAAACATAGATATCCTAAGAGAAAAACTTGATAATGACACACAGTACGAAGGGATAATTTTCTCGAGTCCTCGATGTGTACAAAGCGTTCATCTGGCCAAGACTGATAAGGAACAACTGAAATCATGGAAGTCCAAACACAACTTCGCTGTAGGAGAAGCCACATCCAAGGAAGCACTAAATAAACTCGGTTTGGAGTGTGAAGGCAAAGAATCAGGGAATGCTCTGAATTTGTCCAAAGTAATATTGGAAAGTATGTACTGTGTGTTTAATTTATTTGTTTATTTCAAGTGACAAACCAATTTACGAAAAATTCTATGATTTACAGAAGTACAAATCTCAAATAGTTTCAAAGAATTGATAGATGATAATTTTTTGGGTGAATGAGATCCGTTTGAAGTCATGTATGAAATATAGTACTCATGTTCAATATGCCCAATATTCATGAATATTTTTACTCTTCTCTATTGAACTATGGCTAGTGGATACGGAATCTTCAAAATTTATGCTGACATTCCTCAATGAAATCCTCATCAATTTATGAGTTGACGAGTACTTCAATCTCTCTTAATATGTAATTGTCATATTCAACATACTGAACTCCTTCTTATCCAGTGTATCTGCTTCGAGCTCAGCAATAAGTAAGTTATGAATAACTAATAATAAAAATAAGCCTTAGAGAAATAGGTGTGTGTAGATTCAACCTGCAAGATATTTTCAGATGATAGAAAGTTTGTGGCAATTATTTTATTTTTAGGTGAAATAATGATGTCTTTGAGGTTGTATGAAAACTTACTAGAAGTAGGCAATCCATCATTTCTGGCATATCTTATTGATTTTGAATGCCCCTATAAATTTCTACATTATCATGAAAACCACATTTATGATTGAATTTATTTGTAATAAATCATAACTTAATGATTCTTTGTATCACAGATAGAACGTGCTATTCTAAACCATTCCTTTTTCCTCACGGAAATTTGAAAACTGATACCCTGCGAGATGAACTCGGGAAGAACGGTTTGGGAATGGAGGATGTCCTAGTCTATGATACCATAGCAAATCCAGATATAGAAAAGGAAATACAAGAAGTTACCAACAATTATAATGATCTTCCACAATACCTAGTTTTCTTTAGTCCCTCTGGATTCCACAGTTCAATTGACTATCTCAAGAGAGTACCTGATTTTCCTAAGGCAAAGGTAAATATGTCAATACTAAGTGAGAAGACTTTGTTTTCATTTTTTATGAAGTACAAATGACTTTGTTTGTCGAGTTTTTTTTATGAAAAATAGTTTTAGAAAATCTATGTAAGGGTCAAGAAACTTACGGAGACTGTCCTTAATTTTGTGGCTCTCATAAAGAAATAAGCACTAATGGGTTGCAGGATCCTTAATTTCATTGAGACTAATATACTCAGGTGTTGAGGGGTAGATTAGAAATAATGTATTTTAATAACATATCTTAAGAGGACCTATATGAATGAGGTTTACATCAATAAAACAAACATAAATCAATAACTTTACAGAAAACTGTGATATCTCTCTTTTATTTTTCTGGTTACATCAAAAATTGGGTTGTTTCGCATCAATGAATGTTTTATTGAATAATTACACCCCACTCTAGAGTTGAATTTCAGGGGAAAACACTAGCTACTCTCCCCCCTCTCGTACAATACCCAATGCCAGATATTACTTCTCTACAGCATATACAAAATATACTTGTACTGAAACAGCTCAACGTCAACAGAGCTTTTGGTTCTGATGAAGTTCCTAACATAAAACTTGGGTTTCGTTCTTGTTGGAAAACTACTTGAGTTCAACCCATTCCGAAAAACTACAGGCTAATTGCATTACTGTCAGTTATATCAAAAATCATGGGAGAAAATTGTTAATCAACACATTCTCACATATTTGGAAGCTTCAACACCTTGAGCGACCATCAATGTAGTTTCTGAAAGCGAAGATCACTACTCGAGTCTCAGCTGCTGTTTCCAAAGGCCTTTGACCATATCTGAAGTTATAATTTATACTTAAATGATATGGTTTGTCTTGATTGTCTTCTTTTGAAGCTCTCGAGCTTTCTCAGAGTCTTTTTCTCATGAGTAGCAATCGATGGTTCTCTTCCGAATACCTTTACTATCAAATCCAGTCTTTCACTGGGATCCTTATTACTTCCAACTATGTTTCTATAATTTATCAACGATCTTCTGAAAGATCGTTGGATAATTTATTTTGTTGACGATAGCTACACTTGGCTCTTCTTTTTTGATAAAACTGTTTGATATTCCTCTTGAAGATGATCACTTGGTGATCGAAACACGTGTCGAGGTGTTAAAATAACGATTTCGTGTTGAGAAAAAGCTCAAAAATAATGGTCTACACGACTCACACACCGTTCGCTTTTACAAAACAAACACTGGATGAAAAAGTTGTGGACTGCAAAATCCCCAGAAGGGGGAGACTCAATCGAGGAATGTTATACCGTTTCTGTTGTGGATGAACTCAGTTCATTAGATAATATTCGAAATGCATACCATCCTGATGCCAAATTTTTATTTAAAGCTGAAATATGTTAGTCAAATTTGAATTTGTTATCCATGAAGATTCCCAGGAATTTCGATTGGTTTTTATTCTCAAGAACGTGTCTATTCAAATATAAATTGTTAATAAACAGCTGAAGGTGAGTAAGTTTGTTTTTTTCATATGAAAGCACAAGTAGTTTGCTTCACACCTTTTTTCACAACTTTTAAATCACTAGAGGTGAACCGCATATACTTTCATATCTGGAGAGAAGTTCAATTTGAACAGCTCCTTAGATACGGATCGACTTGGCTACCCATCTTGAAGAAAAATAAAGATAGTGGTAAAATAGCAAGACTGACATCAGAGAACACCTTATACTACATCAAATGTTTTAGGAGTCAAATCAACAGCATTGGCGTATTTCACATTTCAAAACTCTTTTGAGATCTGTCGAGGAAGTTGAAAAAAATCAACAAAGTAAAAACTGCGTATGAACTTAAATTTTGTCCAAACTTGAAGACGGAGCCAGATTTTTATCTTCTGAAACATTAGGATAAGTACGAGGGTTGCCTTTTATATTTCGGGGTTAGAGAACAAAAACAAATATTAATAATCGAAAATCACTTTGTTGTTTTTCAAAATATTCCCCATGAAGATCTATACACTTTTGCATGCGTTTCAACCAATTGTTGAAGCACTTTTGCCACTCTGATTGAGGTATCTCCAAAACATACATTCTGAATGTAGCAACCGCTTCTTCAGGTATCGAAAAACGTTGACCTCTCAGTTTGTTTTTTACGTGTGGGAATGAAAAGAAGTCATTCGGTGCAAGTCCGGAGGATGACTCATCAAATCAATGTTTTGGGTGCTCAAAAGTGCAATCGTTTGAGCCGAGAGCTCGCATTGTCGTGGTGAAGAGTGATCACTCTTTGGCGGTTGGTTTTCCTGATTTCTTGGAAGACAACTGGCAAACAAATGGTTGTGTACCACTCTGAATTGACTGTTCTACGTTGTTAGTGGTACGGTTGCGACAAGTCCAGTTTTTCCAAAAAAAAAACAGGCGACCATTTACTTGGAAGCGCTTCATGCGGGAACAACTTTTGTTGGATTTGGCTCATCTTGACACACCCATACAGTCGACTACTGTTTACTTTCGGGCTCATACGCGTAAATCCACGATTCATCACCTGTCACGATGTCATAGACGTGTTTCGAAGCACCGCGATCGTATTTTTTGAGCATTTCCTTTGACCAATCGACACGAGCCTTTTTTTGAGCGATTGACAAATTGTGTGGGATCCAACGCAAACAAATTTTTTTTGACAAGTCAAATGTTTATGCAATATTGAAAGTATGCTGGTCCCACTAATGCCTAAGGTTGTCTCAATCTCACGATAGGTCACATGACGATCTTGCAATATCAGTTTGCGCACAGCATCAATGGTTTTCGGAACAACTGATTTTGGACGAGCTTCACGAAATTCGTCTTGGAGTGAACTACGACCACGATTGAATTCATCATACCATCGATAAACACTGGTCCTTGATGGAGCTTCATTGCCAAAAATTGAATTAAGTTCCTCCATGCACTGTTGCTGAGTTAATCTACGTCGAAAGTTGTAAAAAATAATCGTACGAAAATGTTCTCGATTTAATTCCATTTTTGGGCCAGGATGGGTCTTTTAAGTTATTGTAAACAACACAAATAGCACGCGTATGCAAAACGTTGAGTACGTATAAGCTCAAAAGTGCTCAACTTTACGATAGAGCTGTCATTTGCCTGATTGCAACACTAGGATTGCCAAATCCCGAAACATAAAAGGCAACCCTCGTATAATTTCTCAGCTCTTCCTTTGTGAAAAATACTTTGAATTTGCACAGTAGATAACTCATCAGGGTAAACTGAAAAGTTTGCCCTTTCTAAACGTTTATTGAGTTCTCCATTACAAGTTTCATACTTTTCAGATTTTGAAAGCTAAAAACACCCAACGGTCCATAAAAACTCGGTATTGATTCAATATAAAATATAATCCCGTTTTGAGTAGGTCACGAAATGAAACCAAACAACCAAAACTTCACAACTTTTATTACTATCTGCACAATATTCAATAATAAAATACCATTAATTTCATTAGTTTAGGTATCACAGTTTCAGTGGTTAGACTTTACGTAACTTCTATGAGCAATTTTCCTCCTTGTTAAGAAAATCAGTTTCCCATCAAAGTTTATTATTATACATATAATAACCCTCAGATACAGGTCAACCGAACTCGAACGTTTTAGAATTCTTCCATGCTGTAACCCTTTTGTTCAACTTTGGTCAAATTATTGTCAAGTTATGTGTCCATTTCGAGGTTTATCTCACTCGATAAAGTATAATTATTCAAAATATCTTTCATAATGAAAATATGTCACTAGAATTGATAGGTATTTTTCAAAAAAAAAAAAATAAATAACAATTCATGCACACGGGATTCACAGGGTTTCTTTATATTATTAAAAACTGAAAAATTCAGAGATAAATGATGCCCTTGATAAACAATCTCAAACATAAGATCAATTGATTTGAATAAAAGGAGTATTTTTGAAGTTTATAGGTAAAAAAGCTCATTCTCTTTCTACTTCTCAATTTTCATACACAAAATATATCAACTCAAAAAAAAGAGAGTAAATAACTTCAATAACCTCTTCACAAAGATGTGTAGATCATCCGAAGCAACTACTTTCAAGAATATGAACTTTGAATTACACGAATATCACTCATGCCTGTTCAGTTTCTACTCTAAACATTCGTTATGCAGTTGTAGCAATACCTTCCATAGGAACACTATACAAAGTTGTATATGAAAGTGTTTTGAGATAAAAGTTCACTTACATAGACCTATCATTTCAATCTGTATCTAAAGCAAACTTCTTTCTGTGTGTTCTCTTCGCACCTTTATGAAGAGTCAATCGAAGTTAGTCACTTTGTTTCTCAGAAAGTTTACCACTTTTTTTGTATGAAATTAGTGAAGTAGAAAGCCAAAAATCCTTTTTTTACAAAAACTGATAACTTCTAGGGAATATTTAATTTCAAAATTTTATTTAGAAATCATATAATTGGTTTGAGAAAGAAATATCAACAGGACGATCCTAGAGATAGTAATTTTGACCTTTAAACATATAGCCTGATTCACAAGTACCACTCAATCAAAAACCTAACCTCCAAGAACAAAATAACCGATTAAATCTCAATATCAAAGGAAAAACTTTGAATTAACTGGTCGCATGAAAGAACAACATTCTGTGGGCAAAAAATTTTGATATTGACATGCCATATATGATATTGATATGCCATATTTTAATAAAAAGTACGTTGAAAACAGCTATATATAATTGAATTGAATGATTAATTGGCTTATGAAGAGTTATTGAAACTATTTCGCTGTACTTGCATAAAAAATGCAGATGAAACAGATCAGACTTATAATTGGGAAGCCCAAGCGGGGATTTCGGGATTTACTAAAGCGCGGCAGATCAATATACAGGGGGATACCTTGTACCCGGTTAAGTACCTCCACCAAATATGAGCCCCATATATAAGCCCGCCCGTGAAGGATTAAATTAGTAAAAAAAAATGATCATCAGAAATTCTCGTGCGCGTCAGGTTAAGGTAGGGTGAGTTAATTACATGCTGAAAAGTGTATATTCCAGTAATCTGACAATTTGGGAGTGACGTAAAGAAAGGGGAGGGCAGCAAAGTTGTAAAAAAATAACGTCAATTCGACATTCTCAAGCGTAGCTACTTTTTTTTCATTTTGAAGGAAATATTTCAAAGATAACGAAAAGAATATAATCTGACGATTTCCGCAAGCCGAAATAATAAAAATTCGTCGATAAAGTTTAATACGTGCAGCTGTATGATACCTACATTTCCCTCTCCGAGTTTCTATTCCTCTTTCACTTGTTTTCTATCTATTACTCTCTCATTCCGTCCCCACTCTGAATTCTGTTGCCATGACGCCACCACAGCTGATCACAGAGACTCGTTCGTGATGAAGAAGAAGATTATGATTAACTAATCAATTGATTATAAAAAATTAAATTTTTTTGTAACAAGAAAGAACACTGTGATTTTGAAAAAAAGATCTCAATATTATTTAGCAACAAAAAATTGTAAGTTAATCGTTCATACATATTTCAGACATATTGAAATTGTTCAAAAAACTATTTTTTCATTAAAATTTTTCAAATGTCAAACTGCTTTGCTGATAACAATATAAGTTAGTATTTTCAATTGTGTAACTTTCAGTAAAATCAATTTTCAATTACTTTAGCAACATTCTCAATTTTATAATGCCTTTGATTATTGGTAAAAATGCATGAATGCATAATTAAGCAATGGTATTTTCTAAAATGCATCATTGTTATCAAGATTAGATAAAAAAAATAAAAATTTCAAACTGTAATTGTTTATATCACTTTCTGAAACAATAGAAGTTCTTTTTCAACTAATATGTAACTTTTAGTGTTAAAAAATCAATTGAAGTAATAAATAAAAGACGTTTTCATTGTTTATTCACATCTTTACATATGTAATACTTTGAATTGTTGATAAAAAAGTGAAAATATGTAACTTTCAGTAATATAAAAATAAATAAAAGGAATCATTGAAACAAATTATTTTCAATTACTTCAGTTAAATTTTCATTTTTGTAATGCCTTTGACTGTTAATAAAAAAGTAGGAAAATAAATCAAGCATTGTAAATGAAGACTTCTCAGAATAATATAAAAAAATAGATGGAATAAATGAAATTGCAAACGTTGATCTGCCTATAAAAATGACCTCAATATTATTTAGCAACAAAAAATACTGTCAATTGATGAATGCATATGTAAGCAATGATATTTCCTAAAATGCGTTATTGTTATCAAGTATTAGATTAAAACAAATAAAAATTTCAAACTGTTTTTGTTTATAACACTTTCTGAAACAACACTAGTTCTTTTTCAACCATTATGTAACTTTTAGTGATAAAAAATGAATTATAGTGATAATTAAAAGACATTTTTATTATTTATTTGCATTTTTACATTTGTAATACTTTGAATTGTTGATAAAAAAGTGAAAATATGTAACTTCCAGTAATATGAAAATAAATGAAAGGAATCATTGAAACAAATTATTTTCAATTACTTCAGTTGAATTTTCATTTTTGTAATGCTTTTAATTGTTAATAATTTTCCTGCTCTGAAAGATCTCTTTTAAAAATTTCAGATATCTGAAGTAGTTATTGAGATATTATTTTACTTAGTTGCTTATAAATTTTGCTTTTTTCACCGGTCCTTCTCTCTAAGTTTCATAAAGATTTTCAATACCTTTCCGACTCGAATGACACATTGGTCATAACTTTCGACCTTTGATGTTAGGTTTTCGATGAAATAGCACTTGTGATTCGAACTATTACTGAAGATAATCAATTGAACGACTAGCAAAAGCAAACGTTTGAAAATAAAAATATGGCGAAACTGAATCCCGTTCTTCAGGAAGAAAATCAAACGTTGTGACGATCAACAAATCAACAGTATCCAAACCTGATTGTTAGGCAAGTCTGGTTCCTTAAAACAAAAAGTTTTCTGCAAAAAAATATTCGAAATGGACACTTCCTTCTTAGTTTCGCACAGAATCCTACCTATTTCTTAGGGGAGTTCTTGAAATGACTGTCTAAACTTATTCACTTTATCATACACCGTCTTAATTGATTCCGAATCATCCTGACTTTCGGCCAGGTAGTACAGTCTTATTTTTTTCTCCGAGTGACATTCCAGAATGCCCCAACGTTGGAACAGCCTCAAAGCATTTTTGATGGAGTCAACGGATACACTTTCACCTGAAAGAAAGGATTTCGTCAGTGAATGAACACATTGAATTATGTAAAAAATTAATAGCACAAAAAAGAAATAAAAACCGTCAACTCACAAATAAAAATATCCTCTTCCTATACAGTAAATCCTCGACGCAACTGGTAACTGTTTGTTCTAGGCTTTGGCACGGTTTACAAAACAGGAATTCATATTGCAAAATATCACAGAGTTCCAACACATTGTCTATCAAATCCTGATGGACGACCTCGCCTCGATGATTTGCTACAAGTTGCACGGTTATGGCGATTACAGACTCCAGAGCGTAATGGGTGACTAAAGTGTTGCTGTAGTAAGACAATTCGATGACATTCGGGAGTATTGCGATGGGTTTGATTATGTCTTCGTTGTTGACTTTTTCTTTCCTTACCAAAGCGGGGCCCAGCGTTCTCACCTAGAAGTATTAGTTTCTTATCATTACTAGAAATTAATGATGGAAGAATAGATACATAGACAATATGTCACTACATTAAAACGCTCGAGACCAAATCATTCCGTTTATCCAGTATACAAATTCAGAATCGGATTCCACTTCCAAAGTTTAAATATTTTACACTCCGATTTAATATCCTGCGCTGTATCTCTTCCATACAACTTGAACTATTTGGAATACTGCAAAATGTATGAGGCTTTGTATAACCACCTTTTAAGGTGAAAGATGAAACGATTTATCTAAAATAACTAACTCTAGCCTGAAATTTGTTGCGATGCACTGTTTGGAACCTTTGGTGTAGTAATGAATATTACTGGAGTTTTATCTCAACACCAAACCGTTATTTTTAACACCTAGAAACGTATTTCAATCACCAAGCGATCATCTTCAAGAGAAAGATTAAACTCTTGATCTTGAAGATGATCACTTGGTGATTGAAACACGTGTCGAATATTAAAAATAACGGTTTCGTGTTTGGATATCCCAACACCAAACCTTTATTAACTTTCGCATAAAATTAAAACACGAAATTGTTTTCGATCCATTGTTTTGAAAATAATAAAAGTAGCGTCACTCTTAGCACAATAACACACAAGTTCATCAGTAGAATATTATGAAATTTCAACAGCTTTTTTTTGACTAGCGCCATCTATGTGTTGGGTCCGAAACTTTACAGTCCATTTAGTACATAACAATGAGACAATGACAGACACACAAACAGACACGCAGATACACACAGATTCACACACAAACACGTGTGAGCGCAGACAAATACACGCGCGCGAACAGACAAACATACACACTCGCAGACACACAAACAGACGCACATACGCACACACACACACACACAATAAACCTCAATGAAAAGAAAGCAAAAACTATTCTTCCTCATAAGAATCTCAAAGCACTTGTCAATTGCGGCAAGATAACAATACATAATACTATTACATTGTGACCCATTTTTATTGGAAACACCCCCCTAAAATTTGAAGTTGTAAATCGATTTTATTATTTTTTTTTTCAAGTACTAAAAGGTCTACCTTGGGACAAAATTTGAAATGTTTATTAAAGTTTCAGGGCATACTACGATATTTTTTCTTAGTCGAAAATCGGGATTTTTTATTAGCGATTTTTT